AAATTAAGAAAAGCAGAAACGAGGGTTTTTAGGTAAGTATAAAACAATATCAAAAGTAAGCGAAAAGCAGAAGCTACAAAATACGTGCCAAAAGATGTCTATGATATCTCTCTTTTATTTTAGAGTGCAAGCTAGTGTCGGCAGGGGAGAAAAAAATTAAGTATTCCATGTAGATGAATAAAATATGAATTTTTAAACATTCCAACATTTAACCTTTTGTAAACAATAAAACTTTTCCCCTCAACTAAAAATGAAATTTTACGCTTTTTATTGCGCCATTCATTCTATTTGCTTCGCACATTTACATCTTTTTCTCCCCTCTTGATCTCACTCTCTCTCTCTGTTTCTTTTCACTTTTACTGCTCCTCTTACGGTTGGCTGAACAATAAAACCAGCAAACATCCGCTTCCGCCAGTCGATGGCAGGCAATCGTATTATATTTTCAGCCGCCGAGAATAATAGCTGCAAGGCAGTCAAAGGAAAGCAATGCCGCGTCCCACTGCGTCTGCTGCGGTTGTGTGCCATGATTTGGTGCAAAAGTCAAAAAAGATGAAGAGGCAGCTGATGGACGGAAACTAACTTCCGTATAATACTTTTAGCTTACTTTCATTTGCACTGACAATACAAAATATGTATATATATGTATATACATACACATACACTTTGACTAAATTAAATTTCTTGGAAATTTTCACTTTTCTGTTTAGACGTACATTAATCCTACATTAATTTGCATTAGAGTGGTCAAAAGAAAGTCGGAATTTTAATGCCGCCATCCCATAGGATTGTTCTGTACAAAAAAAAAGTATACCTTATATAAAAGTATATACGTATAAAAATTTTTTTTCATTTCAAAAATAGAAATAGGGGTATTTTTTTAGTATAAAACATTCCTTGGGGTGGCGGCATTAAAATTCCGACTTTACTGTTTTTTGACCACTCTAATGTACATGTGTATATTTATATGCCCAACTTTTGATATCTGATTTTTGTTTGTGTTTTATTTCGTAGTGCGTAAGTTTAAACATTAAGTCACTTTATGTTGCCACACTTCCTCCGCCTCGAACACGCGCTCATCGTGCGTTTTATTTTTCTTCCTTTTATTTATTATTGTTTTCTGTCCTTACAGTTTCTTTGACTTGCTTTAGGAATACTGATGCAAACCTCCTTTTTGTATGAACGGATGTAGGCACGCTCAGTTGCCGTTAGTTATAGGGCTAATGATATATTCAATTTATCCTACAACTTATTGTGTGAAAAAAATATTTTTTGGATTTTTTGGATTTTAATTTCCTTCATTACGTCAGAAAGAATTTATTACCAAAATGTACTTACATAAGTGCATGTATGTATATGTATGTACATTATAAAGTAGTTATTTAAATATACGAGAGAGCCTCTCATTGGGAAACCATTCTATTCGCCAAAAAAATTTTTCAGAAAAATGATTTGGAGATGGATTTCCATAGGTTTATTCCTTAGAATCATTATCTTAATTCAAAATTAATCAATTTATTTCCAGTTTTGAGATATTATTATCTAATGCTTCTTATTTGCCACCGTATACTCGAAGCAGACACGATCAATTTGCATTGCTGAAGAACCTTAGCCATCGAACAGGTCTTTGAGATGTGCTGACTTGAGTGCTAATTGAGCTGTTCGATGACATATCAACAACGTGGTTAGTTGTAGTTCCTGATGAGACAAATGCAACTGCAATATCTTTTTGCAAGGAAATAGTGTCCAGAACCAATATGATCAAAAAAGTTCTTCGTTTTCCACCGGGAGCGTCCAAGAAGAAGATTCCTCCAGTTTTATCGTTAACAACTTTCGCAAAAGTATTATACGCCTTTCTTTACAGTCGATTTATATATACGACAGCGGAACATTCCTACGAACTGATTCTATTGATTTGTCGCTGCCAAAACTGGGCAATGTAATAGATAGTGGTCGCTCTGCTCGTTGTAATGCCTGCTCACCAGTGAGCTACACTCTTTGACGATGTCCTGTTTTTAGATGAAAAAAAATCGACATATTTACCCACAGCATTATCGAAATATATGTATGTTGACGAATTTTGTCGATCACTTGTTAATCACTTGTATTATTACAGATAAATTTATCTGTGAGCAGCTGTCTTCCGAGATGCGAAATAAATGCAAACGGATAACAACTGTGGCCCATATATTCAGTCGGTTTGTACGAGTACAAAATAGATGCCAACAGAGAATTGATAGCAAAATATTTAACCAGAAATCGCTTAAAGGAGAAACGAAATTTTCAATATATATAAGTGAAAACCCTACAACATGCTATATATATTAGGGTGGTCCCTAAAAATATCAATATCTAAAATTTGTATTAGGCAACCCTCCATTTAGTTTTGCGTGCAAACTAAAGTCGTTCAGGAAAATTCCTAAACTTTAGGGGTCACTACCAGAGTTTGCAAAAATAAGATTTTTTTTTTTAAAATCGCAAAAAAAAAAATTACTTTTACGAGCTGTAGCTCAGCGTATTTAAACTTCTCAATAGCGACTTAAGTTATTCATAAAAATTCAGAAACTAGCTGAGGCATAGCTGGGCAAAGTCAAAATTTTGTCGAATTTGTGCAATAAAAAAATGTTCAAACCCTGGCAAGGACCATACAATTTATTTTTTTTTTTAATTTTAGAATATGCGCGGATGTCTTTATATATTTACGTAGGCCTTTATAAAAGGGTGGCAAATGATGTTGAGAGTTAAAGGACTACCCTTTGAAAACGGTTTTAAAAAACGGTATTTATTGAGTATTTATTGAGAATCTATCACGCAAACACGCTTAGATACTACATACATATATAAGTTTAGTATATATTTTTAATTCAACCTGCAATCAAAATTCATCCTTTGGGAGAAACTTTTGTTTAGAAATATCTTTTGAGAGCAATCAGAGTATGAAAAAATTTCCTCACGCCATCAGCGCATCATCTACTAATTAAGCGTTTTCAGTAAACTTACTTACACTTACAAAGTATGCATGCAAACTGCACAACATTCACTTTTGTGAAATGTGCGAAAAATTTCGCAACTCCACTTCCATAGATTGCGACCAAACAAACGCCGATTACACAACAACGCATGCAACGCCACCACAGTCGCAACTCGACTCACACACACACACACTTGTGTTTTGAGCAACGGCGCGGCGCTTCGGGAGTTTATTGCCGGCAAGCAACCAAGTGACCCAGTTTAGTCGATAGATATTCACTATTCGCTATTCGTTGCGAAAATTAAATGCCGACAGACAGCATCAGCAGTGCACTTCGCAAAGGAAACAGCCAACATCAAAAGTAGAAGCATTCCTATAACACTCGCATTTGCCCATTCCGCATTGCTGCTTGTACCCATGTGTACATACATACACATACATATGCATAGGCGCATATGTAGATTCTTGCATAGAAGACTCAACGTGGTTAGCGTTTCTGATTCTGGTGCTCGTGAGCTTGCAGCTGCCAGCAAATATTGTAGGCACACCACAATCAAAAAAAAACACCACAACAAACAGTTATAAGCAATAATAGTCAGTGGAAATACAAAAGTCAATAGCAACCGCGCCGCTGAAGAGTGAAAAAGCAAAAGTGAAATATCGCCGAAGAATAGTGAAATGCTAAAATGGCGATATGCTTGAATGCTTCAATGACAAATCAGCAGTTCAGGTTGCAGCTATTATGTCGTTGTTGTGTGTCATGTTGCAATCGAAATGTGCAACCATCATCAACGTTGTTGCGCTGATGCTGCTACACAAGCACACACTCACAATCGCACTTGCACACAAGCACTCTTACGTGGCAATAACTTGCATACTCAGCTCAACTGTCCTACATATGAATGAACAGCACTTGCGCGCATGCAAACATACATACGTGCATACATATGTACATGCAGGAGTACGTGTGAGTACTTATATGCACATACATATTTATTTGTGAAAGGCACAACGGCGCATCGAATTTCAGAATGCATCGGTCGGACGGTTTGCACAATCATTGTCTTTTTTGTCGTTTGTGGCCTGCCTGTTGCAAAAACTGCAACGGTTGCAAGCCACCCAATTGGAAATGCCAAAACAAACAAAAAAACACAAAAAGGTATTGTGAGTATGTAGTAGTGTATCATTTGCTTTTGCCTTTGTTATTCTTCTGTTATTTTGCTCATCGTTTGTTTTGTACATACAAACATACATTTACATATGTATAACAAATTCAGAATTTATTATGGCTTGTTTTACTGGCTGCAATTAAAAAATATCGCTAACTAAAATTTGTGTCTTATGAAAAAGAGCTGCCAGAAAAAATGTGCTTTTTGACCAACATTATTCTATAGAATTTGGAAAATATTTATTTGACTTTGGAAAAAGTCTATTTACTTTTGTTTTAAAACCAAAAAAAAAAATCAGGAAAATTTCATATGAGCACCTAGGTATTTCCTATTTCACAGAAATATTTTATCTAACGGCCATACATTTCGTTTTCTGCATGTTCATAGTCCTGCGTCACTCGCGAAATTATCCTATCCAAATCACTTCACATTTAGGTTTAAGATTCTTAAAAAAAATAGCTGCTTTCAGTAAAAGCACGGTTAGGTTAGGTTAACAGTGCAATTCTGGCTAAGATGGTTGCAAGTCCTTTGAAATACAATAGGTAAGATAGTTTTAAAGATTTTTTTTTTTTTTTATTCTGGCACCAAAGTATTAAAAAAGCTCCGTTGCTAAATTGTATTGAATATGTACATTAGGGTGGTCCAAAAACAGTAAAGTCGGAATTGTAATGCTCTCACCCCCTAGGAGTGTTCTATATTGAAAAAAAGTATACCCCTATTCTTTTATTTTGAAATCAAAAAATATAATATAATAATAAATGGTATAGAATTCTACGTTTTTTTGTTCACCAACGTGGATTTCTTTACCAAGGAACGCAACCTTCGTATTATTATTATTATATTTTTTTTCATTTAAGACTCACCCTAAATTTTCCGAATTCCCGACCGCCCGTAAAATCACTACATCTCAGCATGCCGCCTATAGCAGCCGCCCAATGTTCTATCTCAGCACGCCCGCCTGTGTCGATAATCAAAGCAGCTGGCGTTGTGGCGCCACACTGCCACCATAGCCAGTTGTCGTCAGGAATTGCAGCGAAGAGGAAGCTGTCACAATGGTTTGACGCGCGCCATCGCCCATACCAACACCTCCAACACCGCCATAGTTGCTGCCCATCAGCGCTTCTCGATAGCCAAGATCCTTCATCGCGCTCGTCTGCTCACTATTCTGCTCGTTGTTTATGCTGGTGCGACGCTGTAATAACTGCAAGCCACTGGCCGTGCGATGCGCTGAGTTGTAGGGAGGCGGTGGTGGTTGGCGATATTCATAGCCATAACTGTTAGAATGGCTCTGGCCAGTAGCTGCTACTGCTGCTGCTGCTGCGGCTGCGGAATACGTGTCGGTGGGTGTGCGCGGTGGCAACGCGACTGATTTGCTATGCCGTTGCAGCGTCGAGAAGCCACTTTCCGCCTGCGGCGTCACGCCACCTGTACTGACAGTTGTTGTTGGCAACGACCCGGTGCTGTTGAGTGCGATGCTAGTCGTCGCCACCGCAATCACTTCACCGCGACGCAAAGTCTTTTCGCTGGGTTTACTTGCGGCGCCATACCTGGATTGCAAATACTCTTGCGCGTGGATATTATATTTAGACTTGGCCACAATGGGTTGTTGATTTGTTATTTGTTGGTGTTGCTGCTGATGTTGCTGTTGTTGTTGTGACATTTGCTGGTCATCGTGCAGATTTATTGTCCTCGTGGTTTTTATCGGACTATAAAGCTGTCCTTGCTGATTGCCGGCCACACTGTTAGCATGACCATTAATGTTATTGTTACTGCCACTATTGTTGGCTGCTTTATGGGTGCTGTACGCGGGCAGCAAGTCAGGTTGATATTCGCCTGCACGTCCGCCACCGCCACCGCCGCCCCCGCCCGCGCCCACGCCACTCAGGTGACCCTCGCTGTTTTGCCCATCCGTACGCCATTTACTATTGCCGAGCGCACCTTTGCCACCAGCAGAAATATCCAGCGTTGTTGTGGATGTTGAATTGAGGAGACGATTTATTTCAACTGCGGACGGTCCATGCGGGTACTTAATGTGAAGCGTATCTGTGGGAAAATGAGAAAACAGACGAACATCAAAACAATATTTCAATGTTGTAGCAGTGATGCAGTGCAGCTAAGTTGTTTTTTGAATTGCAATTAAACTATGTGACATGGCTACCATCCCCGTACCCACAAAAATGCACTAAACTGACAAAGCATTCAAATAAAAACAGGTAAAGCTAGCCACAGGAGGATCATAGCGCAAGCAACAATGTACCCATGATGCTTATGTATCTTCTCGCCACCCCTTTCAAACGTTTTTGGCTCACTCTGCTGTTTACAAAAAATTCACTTATAAAATTAACACACATTTATACCAATATGCGCGCATATATGTACATATGGGTCAGTCCATGTCAAATCGACCAGTGATTGCAATTGTTCTACAAAAGCAAAATAATTTAAAAAAATGTTTTTCCAAAGTTATGCAAAATTCTAAATATCACCACTTCCGGGATTTTGCAAGCTTAATTTTTGATCTCCAACCCAAGTGTTTATTGGGTGACTACTATTGCTTATACCTGAACAAACGCACATGCACACATAGGTACTCAACGTACGACGATTTTATAGGTATTGTTTAATCAAACATTGTTTCCATGATTTAATTTGCACTTAAATATGTAGGTTGCACTCTCTCACATACCTACATACTTATAAACACACACGAGCAAGGATCACGGTTTGCACTCGTCATCACTCTACCCGCGGCCTTTCACGTGTTCGAACTTCGAAACATTTTCCATTATTTAATTAGTACAATTGCTGTGTTTCAAATACTCCGTAAATTCGCTTATGATTCAAACATGAAAGTGCATATATATATGTCTATGAGGCACAGTATTGTGCACAAAAATGGCACCAACGATTGTTTAAGTAAATTTGCTTATAAACGAGCCGAGAATTCTGTTTAACCAAATATTACCAACATTTGAGTTATTTTCGCAGACACTAGTGTTATTTGATACTACAGGCTCAACTATGCACCAGAATAAAAGCTATTACTTATTACCACTTAAATGTCTGATAGTATTAGCTTTTGCTCCTTTTTTGTTTTAGTGTTTAAACCCTATATCGTTGAAACAATTATATTGCTGGCACTTAAATTAATTTCCTTTTACATATATTTGCAGAAATACTCAGATATTGCTTTGTGCTTTCAGTTGGTTTTTTAATGCGCAAGACTGTACTTTAAACAAACATTCAACAGCTTCTGCAGCGACTAGTTAATCCAATAACATTGCATAATCGCACAAGTGTCTGCTCATTTTCACAGCAACTAAGAACCAAATCAAATATTCTAGAATCTCATTTGTCCGATACTGTATTATAGTTTCATAGCTAAAAGGCTTATGATATGTAACTCGCTTGTTGGTGTTTGTAATCGCTAATAAGCATGTTGTGTAATAGATAGGTATGCAGTTCACTATGCCTATATGCAGATTTCGTACACTCAAAGCAGTCACAATTGATTACGAATACTGGATTAAAGTTCGAAAAGCGAAATGCTGGACAATATGCGGATTTCATTGAAATTATTGCAGGTTTTAAATACTGGTACCTAGTAATTTTTATTTATCCACCAAATGGAAATCAAACCAAGCAAGGAGAATATGCCTCCGAATGTGCTCAGCACTCTCACTTTAGACTAGGATTGGTTGTAACACACTTAGGAATTAGAATCAATTAATTTTAATTACAATATAAAGCATAGGAGGTCGCAGCTCTTAAAGGGCTTAAATGGATAAAACTGTCAACGACGTTTTTATGGAGACAACGCCGGTCTTTTCTTCTTAGTTTCAGCAGCTTGATTTTTGTAAGCTCCATTACTACTGCGATTATTTTCATTTGGCAGGGACTAGTGATGACTCCAACAACCGTCCTAAGTAAAGGCCAACTGAAGATATTAAAAGAAAATTCAATTTGAATAAAAAATAAGGTTATACAAATTTTATGAAATTAAAAGATTTTTTGCTAAATAAAATTTAAAAATTTAAAAAGGTAATGTTTTTTAGCTAAAAAATAAAAACAAAAATTAAATGAACGCCTAAAGATTCAAAAAAAATTCTTTTTAAAACATTGAGGCTATTCCTAAAATTTATTCAAAATGAAACAATACAAAAAAATAAAAAAGTTTCCAAAAATTTGAAGCAATTTTTTCTTTTATAATAATGAAATCTAAAAGACTAAAAATATTAGCATAAAAAATTAAAGACGACAAGAATAAAAACCACTTAAACTAAATTAAATTGAAAAATATTTTTCTTTTAAAAACAACGACACTTAAAAATTATTAGAAAGTTACTTTAAAACAGGACAAAAAATTTAATTTAAAAAATTAAATAAGCTCCGCAAATTAAATGCAATTAAAAAAAAAATATTTTAAATAATTAATTCTAAAACTTAAAAGGAACAAAATATTAACGATATAAAAAAATTTATTTCTAGAAACTAAATGAAATTGAAAAATATCTATTATTCGTCTCAAGACAATAAAATCTAAAAATGAAAAGAAAATATTAAAAAGTAAATCTCTAAGAATTAGATAAATTACTTAAATAAAAAAATTTACCACAATAAAATCTAAATATTGAAAGAAAATTCAGTTAAAAGAAAATAAAAAGAAAATTAAAAAATAACATAAAACAAATTTCTACAAACTAAATTAAGTTAATAAAATACATATTTTTCTTCAATACAATAAAATCTTAAAATACAAAGAAAATTAAATTAAAACAAGTAAGAGCAGCGCTGTCTTCGGCTATGCCGAAGGCTTCAT